TAAAGAAAATGCGAATGTTCCTGTTTTTCTGCTCATATATGTTGATGATATGTTGCTGGTCGGTCCTTGCATTAAGTCTATTGAGCATGTTCAAAAATGTCTAAGTGATAAGTTTGATATGAAAAACCTTGGAGATGCTAAAAGGATTCTTGGAATGAACATTATTCGTGATAGGAAAAACTCTGTGCTTTTTCTTAAACAAATTTCTTATGTGGAGAAGATTTTGAGTAAATTTTCTATGTCGTCCGCAAAGTCCGTGAACATTCCCTTTGCTGCCCACATTGTGCTAAGTAAGGATCAGTCTCCTAAGACTGATTCTGAAATTGATTTGGTGAAAAATGTGCCTTATTCAAATGCAATTGGTTCTGTGATGTATCTTATGGTTAGTACTAGGCCGGATATTGCATATGCTGTTAGTTGTTTGAGTAGGTACATGTCTAATCCGGGTATGCCTCATTGGGAAGCTCTTAAATGGTTGTTACGTTACTTGAATGGTTCTATGCATGTTGGTCTGAAATTTTCTAAGTGTTCTGAAGGTGTTAAACTTGTTGGCTATGTTGATTGGAATTATGCTAATGGTAGAGATAATAGGAAATCAACAACTTCATATGTGTTTACTTTGTGTGGCTCTTGTGTGAGTTGGAAATCACAACTTCAGCATATTGTTGCCTTGTCTACGATCGAATCTGAATATGTGGTTGTAACTGAGGCCTTGAAAGAGGCTGTTTGGTTGAAGGGTCTTTTATGTGAAATCGATTTGCTTGAAAAAGATGTTATTGTGTTTTCTGATAGCCAATCGGGGATTCAATTGTGTAAAAATCCTGTTTTTCATGATCGCACTAAGCATATAGACGTTAGGTTCCATTTCATACGTGATATTGTGTCTAAAGGCTTAATTAATCTTGAAAAAATTGCATCCGAGTTTAACCCCGCTGATATGGGAACTAAGTGCTTACCTGTTGAAAAATTCAGATCGTGCATGAGAACTTTCAACTTCGATTCGTGTGATTGATGTGCTTGTAATTGCTGTGCTCGTAGGTAGTGTACTATGTGTCTGCTGCCTGTTTTGATACTTGTTCTAACTTCGTGAAAGTGCAGGTCGTTAGGCAATGATGAAAGTCCTTCGGCCCCTCAAGGTGTCCGGTATTCGGTGGTGGACCAAATTCGGTGGAGAAATGTTGGGATATTTGGCCCAGTAACCATATCCCTATCTCAGGCCCAAGGAAGCCCCGGCCCAATTCCGACTGGGCCTGGCCCTCTTACGCACACAAGTGGTAGGAATTAATATGGACCCTTAGATTTAGGGGATTAATCCCAGCCCTCCATCTCTAGCCATAAATACCCCTCACACTCTAACCCTAAATCAGAACAATCATCTCACCTCTCTCTCTTACCTGCTGCGCGACTGATTCTCTCTCTGTGAGTGAACCACACCGATCGATCTCCTCTCTTAATCTGTTACCGTCGCACCTTCGTCGAGCTCTAATCGCCGGTAAGAGCCCGTTAGGCTTCCAGGCGAGTCTCTTTCTGAGACGTGAGCGTAGGTGACGGGGTGACCGGGTGCGTGGCCCGTGTGTGAGGTGCAGCCCGGGGATTAGGTCGAGGAACCGGGGCTGCCGTCCGTTGACCGCCACCGAGCCGGACTTACCGAGGGTGCGGGGCTCAAGGGCAATCTGGGCCGGACTACGCGTCCAAATCACGAACGGGTCCCGACGAGATAAAGGGAGATTTGTTCTTCTCTTTTATTTCACTTTAAGCCTCTTTCTATTCCTTATTTTTACAGCAAATTACTTAGTGCAATTTTTCCCCCTTTTGTTTGTTGATATTCACCATTAAACGTGTCTTTGGTGTCTAGGTTTAATCGGGCTTGAAGTGGGGCTGAAACGGTGTTGTTAAAGAGCAGCTGGAACCAGCCCGGGACCGAAAAGGAGCAGACTTGGAGTTCCGGTGGTACGAGCAGCACCCGAGCAAGGCCCGTGAAAGCTGCATTGCGGTCAGAGAGCAAAACAGACGAGCTTCCGTTGCGTAAGAGTCAAGCGGTGGAACGGAACTGCCACTTAACTCCTATTATATACATAGAACAATCTAAATTAGTCTTATAATATTTAAAGCAATTGTCAACCATTGACACTCACTCATCGTCACTACATAATCACATTCACAAAATTTATTAATTTTTTTCAGCATTCACTTGTCAATCGTTAGTGAAATTGAGCAGATGAAATTATTGCTTATAGCCTCTGGCACGTCAAATATGGAGTAAATCATTGTAGAGTATGTACGATTCAGTACCACACCGAAATTCAGAAATCACAAAAATGATATAAACGAGAGTAAATTTGTTGAACCGCAAACGAAATTATTGTGAATTTATAAAATAAGAAGTTTGCAACAGAAATTATATGTAATCGGAACAATTTTTTTTTTTGCAAACCGAGCACAAATACTCAAAACCGAATACTTAAGAATGTAGAATTGAGGGAGAAGAGAGATTGTTAGGGTGAAAAAAATAGATTGAATTTAGGGTATTTATAATTGTTTATTTATTTATTTATTTATTTTTGTCACGTAAACATGATAGGTTCAGATTAACTCGGCGGGTCAGACTGGACGGATGAGGGACGGTAGTTGGATCTCAACTGTCGAAAGATTCAACGGGTATCTTTAAATTTCTGAACGTTATGCGACCCATGCAGGACGGGTCCAACCCAGAACCGGGTTTTGACCCGGCCCGCTAATTAATTAGATAAAAAAAATTCAAAAAACTGACCAGGCCAAATTGATCTGACAGTGCAGATTCAATCTGGCTATCGGGTCTGTAACGATCGATCCGAACAGGCCTGGAGAAGAAAAAATACTACAAGTACATACTTAATGTACATAGAGGTTTACATAACACTCACATGAAAAAGGGTCCATTTGATTTTTGAAAAATGCTACATGTACATAATAAATGTACATAAAGATGTACATAACACTCACATGGAATGGGGTCCACTTGATTTTTTAATTTTAGTGGGTCCCACTCAATGTGGGTGTTATGTACACCTCTATGTACAACATTATGTACCTATAGCATTATTCTTGATTTTTTTTATTTTTGATGGGACTCACTTAAATGAGAGTGTTATGTACAATGTTATGTACCTATTGCATTTCTCTCAGAGAAGTATTAAAAAAAAATTGGCGAAAATCCAGACCCGTCTTCTAGCCCAAAACCGACAGGTTAAAAAAAAACACAAAAACCAGAACCGGCCCATTTCCAGCGCGGGTCCGGTTCAATTAACCGCACATACAAGCCGGTTTCGAGCACCGTATTAAAATTTGACCAACCGCTAAGTGGCGGGTCGTGTACATTCACTATCACAGGGCACCATAGGTGGTGACTTTCATTGCCTCATTCTGCAGCTTGTATTTAAAGTCCTCACAATATGCCCAACAATGCATCTCCCAAAAAGAACTTCAGTTCCCCCAAACACTTCAAAAACATTTTCCACACTTATGGAGTTGGAGCGGCTCGATGCCACCCCCGCCGCCCGGTCCGAGCGGTCCAAATGGCTCCTCAGCTCCCCCGACCCCCCGTCCGCCTGGAGGCAGCTTTTCACCTCAGTAAAAAAGACCGTTTTGCCCCCGGCCGAGACAAAGCAGCCACAGCCAAGCCGAGCCCTCTTTTTGCTGCACGGACTCTTCCCAATCCTCCGGTGGGGAAAGACCTACAAGTTGGCCAAGTTCAAGAGTGACTTGCTGGCCGGCCTTACTCTTGCCAGCCTCTGCATTCCTCAGGTTCTCGTGTCAATTACCATTTTACCCTTTATTTGTACGGCGGCGTGGAATTTAATGTACTGTATGTTTTTCCGTTGCAGAGCATTGGGTACGCTAATCTTGCGAAACTTGATCCTCAGTATGGCCTTTGTAAGACATGAAATATAACTACATAATAAATCATTAATTATTACAAAAAATATATTTTTTATTATTATTATTTTTTTTATTATTTTTAAAGACACGAGTGTGGTGCCGCCGTTGATATACGCTGTGATGGGGAGCTCGAGAGAGATAGCCATAGGCCCCGTGGCCGTGGTCTCGCTGCTGCTCTCCGCCATGGTTTCGAGGCTCGTCGACCCCTCGGAGGACCCCTCGGCCTACCGTCGAGTGGTGTTCACAGTCACCTTCTTTGCCGGCACTTTTCAGGCGCTGTTCGGGTTGTTCAGGTTGGGATTTCTGGTGGATTTTCTGTCGCATGCGGCGATAATCGGGTTCATGGGCGGGGCGGCCATTGTGATCGGGCTGCAGCAGCTGAAGGGGTTGCTTGGGATTACACATTTCACTTCCAAAACCGATGTGGTATCTGTGCTGTCTGCTGTGGTCGAGGCGCTTCGACATCAGGTCGACCAAAAAACCGATGTCGATTGTTATTTAGTTAATTTTTTTTTTATTATTATTATTTGAATTATTTGTATGAACTTTTTGTTTCTTTTATTTTTGGAACAGTGGAACCCAGTGAACTTTGTTCTTGGCTGCTCTTTCCTAATTTTCATCCTTGTTGCCCGATTTATCGTAAGTACACACACATATCCTTATTATTTTATTATTATTGATGACTATCACTCTACAGGGAGATGCTACGGTCCCGTTACGGAACCATTCCGTCGAAATTTCTAACCGTTAGATCAACTATCCCCGACGATTACACGATGATCTAACGATCAAATTAATTAATTTCAGGGTCAGAAGAAGAGGAAGTTGTTCTGGGTGCCAGCCATGGCCCCTCTCTTGTCAGTCATATTGTCCACTTTGATAGTGTACCTCAGCAAAGGTGATAGCCATGGCATCAAAATTGTGAAACACTTCAAAGGAGGGCTAAATCCAAGTTCACTTCATGAGTTAGAGTTTGGAGGTCCTCATCTTGGGCCCTCAGCCAAAATTGGATTCATCTGTGCACTCATAGCCCTCACTGTCAGTTCACTACTTTATCTCTCTCAATTTAGTTTCACTTCTATTCTACGGAGCTATCGGATGCGTTTTATTATGGAGTCATCCACCACTTAGTGTATTGACACTTGTCCGAATTATATATATTGTAGGACACGTGTCAATACACTATTGGTGAAAAAGAGTGATGACTCTATGATTAAGTCGAGTCATCCGATGGCTCTATAGCAAAACTGTGCCTAACCATTAGATATGTCTATAACTATATTTTTGGTTTAATAATGGTAGGTCTATTGTCAGGTCTGCCTAACCACTTAGACTAGTTTAATTTTTGAGTAAATTGTAATTTCATTCCTGTATATTTGGAAAAAAGTAACAAAAGGTCATTTTCATATATAAGGGACGAAATTGAAACATTTTTCTTGCAAAACATAAAGAACGTCATTTTTGTTGCGAAAAATGACTTTTTGTAACTTTATTTTCCCAAACATACGAGACGAAAATAAAAATAAACACAATTCGAAGAAGACAAAAAAGTTAGGACAGTGAAACATACGTGACTAAAATTACAATTTACTCTTAATTTTTTCTTGTTAAAAATACATGTCATATACTACTTCCTGTTCATTATAAATGTCGTTTTGACTTTTGTGATTCATCCATTTTATTATGTATCTAGACATTAATATGTCTAGATACATAACAAAATGGATGAATCAAAAAAGTCAAAACGACATTTATAATGAATAGGAGGGAGTATTAATTTTGAGTGGGGCAATTATTGGACCTGCAGGAAGCCATTGCTGTTGGGAGATCATTTGCATCCATAAAAGGATACCATTTGGATGGAAACAAAGAAATGGTTGCCATCGGATTTATGAACATTGTTGGCTCTTTAACCTCATGCTACACAGCAACCGGTAATTACATATAAATACCTCTAGGCTCTATATATATGTCCATTATTTATTTTATCTATATATATACATATAATTACTAGCAATTAATAATTAAATTAAACCTCATAGATTTTACTTATTAAATTTTATTTCATAATTGCTGGCAAATATTAAATAAAATCTAATAAATTTCACGTGGCATTTTGCTTCAATAACTGTTACAATCCAATATTATTATTATTATTATTATTATTATTATTATTATTATTATTATTATTATTATTAATAAATTGGGTTCATAGTAGAATCTGGATAATATTCACTCTATGTACAATAAATTAATTAATTAATCTGGATAAATAGATAAATCGGGTTCATTGAATATATAATCTAAATAAATTGATGATGTAATTAACTAATTAATTAATTAATTAATTAATTGTGGGGGCATATATATATTGCAGGCTCATTCTCAAGAACAGCAGTCAATTATAGCGCGGGCTGTGAGACAGTAATATCAAACATTGTGATGGCAATCACAGTCCTAATATGCCTACTCTTTTTCACCAAGCTATTTTACTACACACCACTTGCTATCCTTGCCTCCATTATCTTGTCCGCCTTGCCTGGACTCATCGACCTAAACGAAGCCTACAAGATATGGAAAGTCGACAAGCTCGACTTTTTGGTCTGTCTGGGTGCCTTCTTCGGGGTTCTGTTTGGTTCGGTCGAAATCGGCTTGCTAGTTGCGGTGAGTTCCCATATTCGAGCTTGGCTTCTATGTGTTAAATCCAATTCCTTATGGTTATATACATATATTATGCCAAATGTGCCATCTTAATAAAGTTGTTAAGTTTGAACAAATAAGTTAATTTCATGAGGACTAGAAAGTGAGGTTCTTAGGCTTATCATATATGCATATATTCCTATTTAGTTAGTTAAGGTGGGACACTTCACAAGTGATATTTCTATATAATTCTCACTTGTGAGTGTTTTTAACCATATTTTTTTATCAGACTCGGGTAATCAGAGGTCATTGATATGGTCCTAATTAAGTCTGCTCTAATATTATATTATATTTTATATATTAAGGGGAAATGGTGTGGGACCATAGAAGGTGAAGTGCCTCTTTATAAGGCGAGTCTAGTTGCCATTTAAGTGAAGTTTTATCTTAATTAGTACCATTATTTGAGATAGAAAAAGTAGCTCAATAGACTTACAAACTCGGTGATCAGATTTAAAATTCAATTTTCATATTTCATCTCATATTTCACATTCTTTTGAATGCATGACACTATTTTCAATATGATATCATAATAGACATGTGTCATACATCACCCAATGGAATGTGAAGAAACGGGGGTTGACGGGTGCAGTCCCACGGACGTGAAGCACACCAAAGCAGGGTGAGCCTAGATGGGCCTTAGTGGGGTTTCATCTTAAAACCAATTGGTGAAAGGAGGAGCATCACACTAGACTTATAAGCCTACTTTCCCTGTATCGACAATGTTAGACAACTCACAAGTGTATATTCTAACAGAATGAAATAAGAAATGAAGCAAGTGATACTTTTTCGATTTTGTCTATATGAGACAACTCACAAGTCACAAGTGATATTTCAATATATAGTTCTTTGGGAATGACTCCCAAACCAAGAGACATCTTGCTTAGGACACTCTATTGACTATTATTGGTAGGTCTTCAAAATAGTTGACTTACTAAAAATGGTGTCTTGTTAATGTTTTTATGCACACTGAAATTGCATCTACCACCAATAATCAGTTATCACAATGTAGACCACCTGTTAAAATGGTGTCTTGTTCACCTTCTGTTGAGGACTCTTAAATAGTATTTACCACTAATATTGATAATCAGCTATCACTGCATTTCTCTATATTGGCCCCACTATTAGTTTTACATTTATGTTTTCTATCATGTTTCATTGATGAGGGAAAGGATGCTATAATACATAGTAAATTGCTTAAAATACAATGACCATAATATTGGATAAAGCATAGATTTTCTACCCATACCGACCCGACGAGTTGACCCGGGAGCCAGGATCTGGTCGACCTGAAGTCGAAATCGGTCCGGGTAAGTTATATGGACTGAATAACAATGGACTCGGTCAAAACAAGGTCAATGCGGCCTTGACCCGGTCGACTCTGGACATTGCCCCGCCTAGGTCAACCCAGTTCACTCAGCCATCATAATTTAATTTTATTTTATTTTTAAATAATTTTTTTTTAAAAAAAAATGAAAACTATGTGTATATATTTATATGGTAGGTATTTGTTATGAGATATAATAATAATTGTTCCGGTTCAACAATTGATCCGGTTCAACAATATTTATATGTGTATATATTTATACTAGTGTGTATCCCGTGCAATGCACGGCTGACTTGTTTTTTAAAATATTGTTTAAAACTTTATTTTAAGAATATGTTAGCTTGATAACAGTTTATATTAATTAATACTATTTTAACATCTATATTTATTCTTTGATATAGATAAAATAATATTTTTACTTATTTTTCTCATTATAAACTTCACTATTATTTTCTTAAAAAACTTATTGTCGTATATTATTAATATTATTATTATTATTATTATTATTATTATTATTAAAATTTATAAAAGTTTAACTCTATATATATAATGATAAATACTATAATTTAAAAATATTTAAACAATTTCAAAATAAATATTGTGTACATATATGCATTCTATTTATTTTTAAAATTTGTTTTATTTCATAATAATATTTATTTAGTTATTATTATTAACTTATTTATAGATATATTTTTGTAAAGTATGATATGTAATCATAAAGATTTTAGTTAAAAAGTATATATTTTATTGTTAAATCTATCGTGCACAAAATAAAAATGTGAAGGATTGACATATTATTTTATTATAATTACTTATACATAGATTAAATTTTTTTTAGGAATGTGTGAAAACTTAATTAACTGACGAAATATTTGATTTCAAAAAATATAAATATTATAATCATATAATTTATTTGCTATGTTTATGGTTTATAATTATACTGTAACTTCAGATTCTATCTTTTTTATTGATTAAAGTGATTCTAAATTTTGGAAACATTGATGAATATTTTAATTTGTATATATTAAATTTTAAAATGAAAATAGTAAAAAAATTTCCAACATCTTAAAAAATGAAATTTAAAATTAAAAAAAAAAAGAAAAGAAAAAAGACGTAATATTAGAAAAAAGAAAAAAAGAATATAGGAAAGAAAAAAATTATCATGCTTCATAGGAAGATTTTATAATATAATACTCAGACATTTTATTTTACTTTTTTCTTTGTTTATACTTCTAAATATCTAATTAAGGATATTAAAATCAAATCAAAACAATACCCACAAAAAAAAAAGAAACAATTTTTTTTTCTTAAAAAAAAAAACAGGGATAAAATTGAGATAAATGTGGACATCAAGATAAGATAGAATGTATATCTATTAGAAAAAATAATTGATATTCGTTTCAAAAATTCTAAATAATTCAAAAACATCATGGGCGGGAGAAACATAAAAATTTCAAAAAACAATTCGTTAGTAGTAAAAATAAAAAATATGAGCAGGAATCTTCATTTTTTTTTAAGTTTTTCCTTATTCCTATTATATAGTAATAGATATAAAAATACATATAATAATAAATTTAATTTTATATTCTTAAGGATGTGAGTATATAATATACAAATATTTATATATGCTTAAATATCTTATGCTAAAAGAGTATAAGTTTATTTTATGTTTACAATTAAAATGGTAATTATTTAATTATATATAAATAAATTACGTAAATAAGAATATAAAATGTAGCAACATGGATGGTCATATACAAAACACATGCAAATAATAGTATAAGAAAATATTATTAAATCAATTAGATTATAGAATATATAATAGTATCTAAATGATCTATTTACATATTTAAGATAAGGAAAGAATCCCACAAAATCTTAACAAACAAATTCCATTCAAAAAAATTACATGGAGAAATAATTCAAACAAATTGCATGGGCGGGAAAAAACAAAAATTTGAAGCGGAAAAATGAAACAATTATTTTCGATTTTTTCAAACATTTTTCCTTAGCTCTTTTATATAGTAATAGATTGTAGGTACTTGTTAAGAAAATTGTGTGTATATACTTATTTGATTCAACAATTGATCCGATGACCCTGTGTCTGGAGACGTGCTTGGATCGATTTTCGGACCTGTGTTTAAAAACTATGTATAAAGATCTTCACAACACTAGTCATTAGGAACTGTATCTTATGTTTGTTGCCTTTTCTTTTCCTTTTTGCCTTTTTTAATTAGCTAAAGAACAGTATCACACCGAATTGTCCAGGTTCAATGAATTTATAATATATATATATATACATATATAGTATTTATTTTTTAATGAATTTCAAATATATATCTTTACATGTCTTCAGCTTCAGTTTTATACTTTTATTTCAAGTAGTTAACTACTAAATAAAGATGAAAATGACACCACTGCAAAAGTTCAGGGAAAATACCATTATGTGGGTTAATGCTTTATTTAATTGCTAGCTTATGACAAAATTCCTAGTTTATTCCACCATCCGGTGGTGAGTCACCTCTTGAAAATGGAGTCATTCACCAAAATATAAAAAGAGGTAATTAACAATTTAGGGAACATTCGATGTTGTCCTAGGGACAACACCGAATTTTCCAGAATTTAGTCAATAATTATAAACTATGTTCTAAAGATCGACATAGTCGATTTGCATAAATCGGCTCGACCAGGCGGCTGAACGGCGCCTAGGCAGACCTAGATGGGCTTGGCAATTTTTTTTTTTCAATTTTTGTAAATATTAATTACATTATTTTGTTTTCTTGTTTTCTTTATAATATATTAATATTATTATTTGAACTTAGGTGTATTGATTTTTAATAATTTAAGATAATTTTATTTTGTATATAGTGAAAATAAATAAAAAAAAATAAAGTATTTAACTTTAATTTCTAGACTTGCTTAGTATTTCTCAATTTGCTCAACAGAGCATGCAGCTTTGAGCATAATGAGTTAATGATAGTCATCCACATGGTCTTCAATTGGTTTATTTGTAACAAAATTATGATAGAACTTTTGAAAAATGCTACGGTTCAGTTACGGTACCATCTTTTTGTGTATTTTAACCGTTGAATCCACATATAGTTAGATTAGATAGTTGATCTAACGGTTAAAATACCCGACGGGATGATACCGTAACGGAACTGTAGCATTTTCCAGAACTTTTACTCTGTACTTAGAATAGGAGCACTAACAAAAATGAGCATTCAGGTTTCCGAAAACCTGTCCAGATTCAATGTATATAAGAATCTCTTACATTTTGTGTGCAATAATGTTCTTTAAGGTTTAGTGGGCCTTACCTTTTCTCTATTTTTACTGCAACATATATCACTTTTCCAATATAGTCTATAGTTGAATGTCTCAATTATGTACTTTCTTCAACTTCACTGATGACGATAATCAAACTACAATCCAGTTATACGTCCAGGTTCAGTGAATCTGGTTCTCAGTTTTCGAGTTTAACTTAAATAACCCACTTTTTTTAGCTACTTGAAATAGGAGTAGGAGAGTAGGGGTAGGCAACACTGTGATTTGATGCCCACGTCAAACCGCACAAAAAAAAAAAAAAAAAAAAATAATAATGGGGCCTTCCTAAAAATAACAAAATGCACCGCAACTTAGGAGAAAATCGAAATGAAACCGATTTTTTTTTTCTTTTTCCGGTAAAACAAACTGAAATTTTTTTACACGTAAATAATTAAACTGAACTAAAACAAAAAAGAAAATCGAGTTACAAAAAATAGTAACTGAACCGCACCACAGTGAAAGGAAAAATCGAACGAAAAATATTTCGCATTATAAATAAGGAGATGAGGTCAAACTTTGGGATATTTATTTAAATTATATGTTTTTTTTTTATTTATTTGTTAGTATTTTAGTCATAATTTGTTAGTAAAATTATTCAATTATTCTAATATTTTATTTGGTGGGAAAAATATTTAATTATCGTTACTTGTTAGACAATATTAGGGCTTTGTGAAATTCTATTCTATTTAGTGACTTCTTCATTATGGAGAATTGATTAAGTTTATGAATTAAAAAAATATTGCCTTGAGATTTTATCTCTTTTTTTCCATTTTGTACGCTTAATGCGTCAGTTGGTATGGAAAGACCAGAACAAGGCGTGCCATTGAAGCGTTAGGGCGACAAGTCGCGGATCTGACCGCAGGTTTCAGCCATCAAATTGTTAATCTGACTGCGGGGATCGAGGAATTTCAATTGGCTTTACGTACCGCTTTTCATAGCTAGAAAACGGACCACGCCCCAGATGGAAGACGTGGCGGCCGTGGGGAATGGATGGTAGACGCAGTCGAGGAGCACGCGAGCTACTCGCTCCCGATCACCTCAATCGTTTGTCGGTGATGGTGACTTTGACGTCACCATATCCGAGGTACGTCCTTTTGGTAATATGGCGGCACAGGATGATACTTCACTGGTGATCAATGATGAGAGACTTCTTTCTGAGTCAAGATGTCGGAATTATTCGGCGGCTTGAAAGTCGTCGAATTATTGGAGACAAGATGTCGACCAAATATGAATGTCCGCCTCTTTTTTATGACGAGGGATAGACTGAATATACCGGTCCACCTACTTTAATTTTATGCTGAGGAGTCGACCGATTATGAGGGTCCACCCATTTCTGACGAGGAGCCACATGTGGTGTCGATGGAGGACGAGTGCAATCATCTATAGGGTCAGAGGTATCAAAGGATCTTATTTTAGCTTGAAAAGCCTGTCATTAGCAAACGGATCTTCAATATATGGCTTGTGAAAGAGCATGGCCTTCCGTCTATGGCTAACAGTTGTCAAAACACAAATGGATCTCAGTTCTTTAAGCAACAAATTCATCGTGGTGGATAATATTTTATGTTTGGAAAGGCTTGCTTTTGTGCTAAAGAGTATGTGAAGTTATCGGTCCATAAAATTGGTCTGATTGTGATTGTGGAGCAGTTGAAAACGAGATTGCATCGGTTTTAAGTGTGAATCCTTTTCGAGAGGGGTAGAATGATGGAGATGAGGGCAAACATGATATTTGAGATCTTTATTTTCGTAATTTATTTTTTTTATTTATTGTTGGTATTTAAATCCTAAATTTGTTAGTAAAACTATTTAATTATTCTAGTCTTTCATTTTGTAGAAAAAATATTTAATTAGAAAAAATATTTAATTATCATTTATTTGTTAGAGAAGGTTAAGGCTTTGTGGGATTCTATTTTATTGTCTTCTTCATTATAAAGAATTTGTTAAGTTTATGAATTAAAAAATATTGTCTCGAAATTTTATTTCTTGTTTTCCCTTTGATACACTTTTTCTACGTCAATTAATAAATAAATAAAGTAAATTAATTTGATATGTGGTACAGGTGGCTATATCATTTGCAAAGGTCATAATGAGCTCCATAAAACCGAGTATAGAAATTGTAGGAAGAATTCCAGGGACTGACTTATTCTGCAACACATTGCAATATCCTGTGGCTATCAAAATCCATGGCTTCTTAATTGCACGCATCAACTCTGGGACTCTTTGCTTTGCCAATGCCAGCTTCATCCGAGAAAGGTACGAATTCTCAAATCATATTTTTGGGATATATAATAATTGTGGGCAAATTACATAATCTACCCTTGATGTCTTACCAGTGTTTTAAAAGTCCCAGATGCTCGACCAGCGCCTAGCGCCTAGGCGGAGCCTAGAAATCAATGTTAAATAATTTTTTTTATTTATTTTAACTACCTATAAAATAAAATTATCTCAATTATAATAAATCGACACACTTAAGTCCAAATAATAAAATTAATATATTTTAATAAAAATTGAGAACTAAATAATGTAATTAGTATTAAAAAATAATAAAAAAACTGGAAAAATTGCCGCCGAGCCCGCCTAGGTCTACCTATGTCCGCCTGGGCGCCGCCTAACCACTTGGCCGCCAAGTCCGTCTAGGAACGCCTAGTCTCCTTATCGATCTGTGCAAATCGAAAGCGCCGAGCACCGCCTAGCACCTACCGCGTTGGTCAATCTTTAGAATAGTATGTCTTGCCAAAAAGAAAAAAATGACAAAGTAATTCATAGGAGTGACAAAATCGTCATATCATCTTGTGTTCGTCTCATATTTTCATGTCTGTATTATTTGATTACAAGTATAATAATCTTGCAAAACCTTTTTTTTTTTTATTCAATCCACTTTTCCGATTGAATATTTAAGTTAGTTATCATCCTATCATTCGTCACTATAATCTAGGGGTGTTCGTGGTCCGGTTTTAACGGAAAAAAACCGTCAATACGGACCGCGAATCGGTTAAATGGTTGGTTAAAAAATCTTTAAAAAGTTCAGTGGTTACTTTTTTAAAAAATTCGGAATAATCGGTTCGGTTAACGGATTTCCTGCGGCAAACCGTCGGTTTAAACGGTCCAGGCCGGTAATATTAAAATACTACAACAAATATATATATATATATATATATATATATATATAGTCATTCACTATGGCCGTCAAATACAATACGTTCACTTTCACTTTTTGGCCTTTAGTTGACTTAATTTTGTAAGACACTATAACTTTTCACTTTTTCCCACCTTCATTTTTTCATTTCCAAATTTTTCCATCTTCTCTTCTTAATTTTTGTGTATTTTTATGCTTATGGGACGAATTGTATATTTTTTTACTTCATTATTGTTGTTTTTCTTATTTTTTGGGCCCAAATAATCTCTTTTGAGCCCAAAATTGAAAAAAATAATTGAAGGCCCAAAATAATAATTTTGGATTTAACCAGTTAACCGCCCAATACGGTCCGGTCGGTTAAAATTAAAATCGGTCCGGTTATGGATAAAAAAAGATTAACCGTTAAGTCCGGTTTAATCATGGTTTATGCTAAAATCAGACCAATCCGAACTATAAACACCCTTACTATAATCGTTGTAACGTTCACATATTAATTTCACGTCGTATAAGTCATTGTTACCCCTAATGGCAAAATTTATCTAACATAATAAAATTGTAATTATTCAAACTTGTGCTTTAAATTGTAGTTATTAAAAGTTGAGTTTCCAATTGCACCATTATATGGCTGCCATTTGTTAAAACAGTTTCAAATCATGCTTTTATGCTCAAATCTTGATTTTTTTTGTATTCATATACGTTTTATAACTTTTCTTATTTAATTTAATTTGTGGACAGGATTCTGAGGTCCGTGAAAGAGGAATGTAACCTGAAAGAAAGTACTAAAGGGCGACTTTATGTCTTGGTTCTCGACATGACTAGTAAGTTTATGTTATGGGAAAATGTTACAGTTTTTTTACGGAATCATTCCGTCGGGATTTGCAACCGTTAGATCATCATGACAGAGATAATTGATCTAACGATTATAAATTCCGACGGAATGGTTCTATAATGGGACCGTATATAAAATCTCCTTATGTTATGTTACTCAATAATTGTTCATCTCAACATAATATTATTTAGGTATATAGAATAGCTAAATAAGATAATCAAATCGGACAAACTAAAAAAAAAAAACCTTCCATATGATTGGGATTTTTAAAAATGTACAAAAAAAGGAAAAAAAAATCAGCATATTTAGATATACTACAAGAAAATGACGCCAACAGAAATATATTTAAATAGAATTCATAATGCAATTTCAATAGATATTTTTTAGTATTATTATTTGCGTTGGAAATTTTAATTAATTCCAACAGAAGTTTCAACAAAAATATTTTGTTGGAATAAGTTTTCCATTAAAATTTCCGTTGGATTTTGGCAATTCCAACGATAGATTTTTCAACGGGGGTAGAAATAATTATTTCAACAGAAATTGCATTTGGAATAATCAGATTTCATCTAAAATTCCAATAAAAACCACATTCCGATGGAATATTTTGTTGGAATTTCTGTCGAAAGCATTCCAACAAAAACTATACCATTGGAATTTCCATCGAAATATATTACCATAAAATATTCCGTTGAAATAAAACAATTTTTTATTTTTTTTTGGTAGTGAACACTGTAATTTCTCACATTATTTTCTTTTAACAAGTTATACTATGAGTTCGTTTGCCTAACAATTAGGCAGACTGATCGGTCGGTAACTTTGGAACGAACAGATGTGACGAACATCGACAGTTCTGGAATTCATGCACTCGAAGAACTACATCAAAATATCACCGCGCAAGGCATAGAAGTATGAGCTTAATTTAATTAATAACAGTCCATAATATAATGTTCTAATAATAAATAAATTATTTCATTTACTTATATCTTTTAATTACTTCATTAATTAATTTGTGTTCATTTTTTGCAGTTAGCCGTGGTGAATCCAAGGTGGCAAGTGATCACGAAAATGAAGGCAGCAAAGTTGATAGGCAAACTTGGAGATGGCAGAATTTTCATGTCCATAAGAGACGCTGTGGATGCTTTAATTGATCCCAAAATTAATGGCCTTAATAGCTGTTAATTTAATTATAATTATCGTAAATTAATTTGACCTCTCTATGTACATAATGTATAATTAATGGATTGAATAATCGTTTTCCTACACTGCATTTAGGATCTAAAAGTTGTTGTTTTATGCATGCAATATATATGTAAGTGAAATTAGTGTTTGGTGTGTTAAATGCAGGATAGGAAAAAACAAAACCCTCGTGATTGTATTGTATTATATCAAGAACCTTAAGGTGTGAAGATGTTGAATTTGTGGGGTTTATGTTGTTTATTTATTTATTTTTTTTTTTCGTTCATTATTTTAGTTTCTTGGATCATATGTAGGCTAAAGAATTAGTTCGGAATTCAATGTTCATTTTATAATTGTTGTTGACGCAGTGACGAATCTTAGAATTTTATGGAGGTGACGCAACTAATAATAACAAAGATAAAATAAAAATATATCAACTGTAAAAATCAATAAAATAGTACAAGTACCGACAAAATAAACTTAATACATGTATCCAAGTATTCAAGATAATAACTTTCGATAACATTGAGAGATCATAACGATTCTCTTCTATTATTTATGTTTTGAAATCGTTTATGATAGTCTCATTGCTAAGTGACGTTCCGAAATATATGTTTCTCGCCACGAAACAATCACTCTAAAGGTCATCGCCCATTCGGTTGCGTATTGTACTTTTGATGATTTTAATTGCCGAAAAAAACTCTTTCCACTATAGCAGTGGCAAGCGGTAAAATCAACAACAACTTAATCAACAAGTAAACAAATGGAAAAACATCATGTTTTCTTCTAACACAAATATATGTTTTTTCGTTTAAATAATATGACAAATTGACCCGTCTAACGGTTAGGCTATGTTGGCCAGAATTTCAAAATGGTCTGATATGTTGACCATTTTCTGAAAAATGTCTATCATATAGGGCGACATCAAGAATGGTCCACTAAATAGTCACTTTAATCAAAATTCGTACAGTAACCAACAGTATACTAAAAGTGATCAATTTTAGTTGTCATTAGTACACTATGCTGGCTATTGTACCAGTTTCGATTAAAGTGTCAACTTAGTGGACTATTAACGATGAAACCCTATATAATTAACCTTTTTTAAAAAATGGTCAACATAATATACTAAAAATGAAATTTAGACTGCTATGTTCTAACACATAAGGATTTGTGATTACTATATAAGTGCCCCTGAAATTTATGACCGTTGAAGTACAAGATGAAATAAGTGAAGATTCTCCTACAATGTAGGAGTAAGACTTATCCTAATTCCAAGGCAAGATAATAGCTTAATTGGTTGGATAACAACCACTACCCATGGCATTAAACGAGCCCTATATGCTCCCGAGTTTACAAGCCCTTGAACAAGCTGCAGCCTGCACTCCCGAGGCAGACTCGAGCTAGGTGCAGCCTGCAAGCCCGAGCCAGACTCATGTTAACACGATAACGCATTCAACTCCAAACACTTTCATTTCATAGTACAACTATTTCATTCCCTGAACTAAACTTGTTTTCAGAGCAGAGTACAACTATTCAATTCTCGAAATACAAACATCTTCATACTTGCAATGGCCTTCATTTCATTCCAGAATACAAGGGCAAAAACATGCACTCCTCAGCCCTCAGTTAATCTCTCTAATGGCACTCATCGGGACACCACAAGACAATTACACCATCCTATCCACAAATTAAGTTTCAAGAAATAATACACATCACAATGAGCTGATCCCACCACCAAATTTTGACAATCTCAACATTTTTCATCCTTCAAAACCAGAAAAGGAGAGTACTGAGCCCACCAAAAAAAGGCATCATCAAACATCAACATACCCAGTATATTCCCAAACAGTTGGGGTCTGGGGGGTCAGTTGTACGCAGACCTTATCCTTGTAATTATATAAAGAGGCTGTTTCCATAGCGACCCAAAATGCGTTGCGGCGTTTGATATATTTTTTCTAGAAACTTCACTAATAGAAGAAGCACTAGAATTTAATTGAGCCATTTTGATCTAGTCCAATATTTGCACGATGCCAGAATAATTGTCAACACTGACTCTTCCAGCTCCATTTGCAATGCACTCAGCCCACCAAAAAAAGGAAAAATAAAAATAAAAATATGTTAATAGAAAAGGAAAATAAAATGAAAAAGAGAGAGAGAGA